CAGAGAAGAAGATTTTCAAAGAATAAAATAATGCATTTTCACTGTATAATCAATGAAGCCCCGCCCTAACAACAGAACCCCTGACCCTTGGGCCATAAAATTCATAATTTTGGGAGAGGCACTCCTGCTCATCATAACTATGTGCTTAGTTAGTTTATTTAATAAGCAAAAACAGAGATGTTCAAAGAATAAATGTATTTTCACTATATAATCAATAGAGCCCCGCCCTAACACCAGAACCCCTGACCCTGGGTCCATAAAATTCACAATTCTGAAAGAGGCACTCTTGCTCATCATAACTGTGTTTAGTTAGTTTACTTAATACCCAGGAGCAGAGAAGAAGATTTTCAAAGAATAAATGCATTTTCACTATATAATCTATATAGCCCCGCCATAGCACTAGAAATCCTGCCCCTGGAGCCATGAATTTCACAATTTTGGTAGAGGACTCAATGCTCATTACATTCATGCCAACGGTTTGTCTGTTTGATATCCAGGAGTAAAGAAGAAGATTTTTTAAGATTGCAATAATTTTAGGGGTTTTGGCCCAACCCCTCAGGCCCCAGGGGGGTGAGGACCATCAAATTCAAAACATTTGTTCCCCTTCACCCGTAGATGCTGTATACCAAATTTGGTTCAAATTGGTTTAGCAGTTTCAGAGAAGAAGCTGAAAATGTCCAAATGTTAACACACGACGACAGACGAAAACGGATAGCAATTGGTCACCTGAGTTACTCAGGTGACCTAAAAAGGGGCATAGATGAGAGATAGGCCAATATTGAAATGCTGCTTTGCATATCAGTCAAAATTGCATTTGGTGATAAATTAAAACATCAGTGTAATTTCGACTGAGCAGTTATAATATGTTTTATGCAAAGATTATTATACCCCACGCAACAAGTTGCGTGAGGTATAATGTTTTTGACCCGTCCGTCAGAGTGTCAGTCAGTCTTGTTTGTTTTTTTTTTTTTGGCAGCGCAACTCTTCATAAACCGCTGCACAGAATTTCATCACACTTTGCAGATATTTAGGACACAGTATGTAGATGTGCATATTACCTGGAAAGTCCGATTCCTTTATTTTTTCCGGAAATTTCCGTACTTTTACACTTAGATTTTTGGCTATATTTTAAATATAGAGATGAAAAGTTGGTCAGCGCAAACTCCTCATAAACCACTGCACACAATTTCGTCAAACATTGCAGATATTTATGACACATGTGTAGATATGCATTTTATCAGGAAATTCCGATTCCTTCATATTTCCGGGAATTTCCGCACTTTTACACTTAGATTTTTGTCTATATTTTGAATATAGAGATGAACAGTTTGTCAGCGCAACTCCTGATAAACCGCTGCACACAATTTCGTTAAACTTAGCAGATATTTTGGACACAATGTGTATACGTGCATATTACCAGGAAATTCCGATTCCTTTTTTTCGGGAATTTCCGCACTTTTACAATTAGATTTTAGCCATACTTGTATCTTGAATATAGAGATGAATGCTGTAGTTTGTCAGCGCAACTCCTGATAAACCAATTTACACAATTTCGTCAAACTGCAGATATTTGTGTTGATGTGCATATTACCAGGAAATTCCGATTCGTTCATATATTGAATATAGAGATGAACTGTTTGTCAGCACAACTCCTCGTAAACCGCTGAACACAATTCTCGTCAAACTTTGCCGATATTTAGGACACAATGTTTAGATGTGCATATTATCTGGAAATTCCGATTCCTTTATTTTTTCCGGGAATTTCAGCACTTCGACTTTTTGGGGAGCGTGGGGTATGTGAGCTTACTCACTTTTTCTTTCATTTAAGTTTGTGTGCATTTTTGTTTGAACTTATTAAATGGGCTCTGAAATATATTCAGAGCCCATTTAGTATTCTTTTTTGTGGATTCTGACTGGTTGGTTTCGAAATATTTTCTCATTTCCTCCTCTGAAACTTTTCTTAATCGAAATATGGAATTATTGAGGCACAGCTTTTTCTCTCCATCTCCTCAGTGTTTGCCACTGAAGAAATTGTCATGCCAGTTAGAGAACTTTCAACAATTTCATCGAATTCTACATCGCACAGAAAATCATTGTTATACCATTAAAAATGTGTTCCTTTACAAATCTATACAAAATAAGTAACATTTCTAATGCTTTGCTGAGCGGGCATTAAAAAATCGATGAAGGACCGCTGAGTGAGATGTTGGACCGGTCGGTAAGATGTTTGACCACTTATGTCACAGAATAGGCGGGGCTAAATCTCATTTTCATTCGTTGGTGTTCATCAATGACGGACCCGATGGTTACACTACGGCGTAAAGACAGTACAAAGTAAATGTATGTCAAAAAACCCAAAATAGAATGAAAGGTATAGGGAAACACCTATTGACTGAGTTCGAGGGCAACATGAGTTTTGTCGGACCCTGGAACCAAATTGTTTGGTTTGGGTCCGACAAAACGCATGTTGCCCTCGAACTCAGTCAATAAATGTATAATATTATCTACGCCTATTTCAGGAAGCTATCAAAAAGAAGCGGCATGCTAAAGTCACCAGATTCATCCATATCTGCGGTAAAGATCAAAGCAGACGTTTCTTTTGATCATTATGACGTCGAAAGCGTTATTGATCAAGGTTCAGTATAGCTCTGCAAAGAATTATTTTATTTAAGAAAAGAAAAAAAAGACCATCTTGTGATTTATTTGTATAAAAATTGTGTAGAAATTGAGTAGATTCACTCAGAAAAACTCAAATTATCTATCAAACTTGAACATGATTTCACCGCCGAAACTTGGCTGAAATATTGCCGATCCGGCGTTAAACAATATCTATTAATCAATATTTTTAATTGTTCTTCAAACGACAATGTGAGAGGTAATATGGGGTTAATAAATATATATTAAGTAGTTTTAGTCTCATATTGCAATAATGAACGGATTAGATACAATACCAGTTACTTTATTGATGAACTATACGGAGAAAATGAACATGATTAATCAAGCTCAAATTAAAAGTCCAATAAACAATACAAAATAAGAGAAGAGTAAACACGGACCTCCAAAACACCAGAGGTGGAATCAGGTGCCATGGAGTAGTTGACGTCCCCTGCCGACCGGTTACACCCGCTATGCGCTCTTTGTCATGATTCGAAAATACGGGAAAATCTGTCGACAATTCAGTTTGTGAATAATGGTCTAACAAAAAAATAAGTATGAAAAACGTCACTCAGTATTTGACTTAATGATAAAATGATCCTAATCGTACTGCATTGCTTGCATTTGGGCAACCAAGCTTCATTTTTCAGTTATGCACCCTCCAAATCGTTGTACTCAGGTGACCGTTAAGGCCCTTTGTTCAAATATTGAAAGGATGTTTTTTTATATATAAACACTTTTTCAATTCTTTTTCTTTCTCTTCTTGTCTTCTTACTGCTTCGTTTTTAACATAACACCAGCACAAACAGCAACACTAAATGTTGTGTAACAAACCACAAACCTGTAAAAAGCCATTAACAAACCATTTCAATACAGAATCTTGTCTTTTATAAAACTGCATATGTTTGAACTCGTTTGTAATAGCGCGGGTACATGAGATTCTCAATCGTCTGACCGTTTGCCACAAGAACTGTAGACTTGGTCAGAACTTTTGAATAAGAGAAGACATCTTTTATGTATTACTTACTACCTTGGTCATGGTTTGATTTACTCTGCTTATCCTTTATTTTAAATAAGAAAAATATGAACTTTTAAATTCGTATGACATAAAAACTCCAATAGTTAGAGTAACCGTTTCGATACACCATTTCCTAAGTATGTAATAGCGTCCCAAGGAATATGCCCTTATGCTGCGTTCTTTTTAATTTTGTTTATAAATACCGCACCGATTTATAAATAACGTAATGTTTTTTAACCTGTTTAAGTCGCCAGCATGGCACAGTGGTTAGAATGTCTCCTCTTGACTAGCGAAGGACTTGATCCTTACGTCGCGGGCGAATCCCACTGTGGGACATGGAGACCACTGCTGGCACGATGAAGATCTCACTTCTCAATGGCCCTGAGTGCCGAGCATAGGACAGAATTTGCAGCTCTCCACCGGCAAGTGGAGGTATCTCCATATGAGTGAAAAATTTTCGAGAGGGACGTTAAACAACAAACGGACAAATGATAGAAGATAGGTTTCTTTCCGTGATAAAGTGACCCACGTTCTATTTGTATGTCCCTGTAAAGAAAGTTTCGGGGGTATATAGTTCGTGTCCTGTCTGTCTATCTGTCCGTCTGTTTATCCGCAAAAACTTGAACCTTGCCCATAACTTTTGACTGGGTAGGGCTATGGCTTCCATATTTCACATGACAATTGTACATATTCCTTGTGACAAGACCACCGAATTTGACCTTGGAGTATGACCAACTTTTACAAAATAAGACCACACATTTACCATGGCCACAACTTTTGGACACATTGAGCTAGTGCTTTCAAATATCACATGTGTATTCAAGGTGATAAAGACCCCTCTGACAGTGTTTTTTTTACCTTGATCTTAGAGTCTCATCCACTCTTAAAAACTTGAACCTTAGCCATAACATATGAACAGTTAGAACTAGGGCTTTCATATTTCACAGGTATATTGCTTGTAACAAACCCTTTCTTTGGATACCAACACTTTTGACCTTGATATTGGAGTTTAACATGCATTTGAGAAAATTCAACCATCACAAGAATCTGCCATACAGGGGCATCAATGTTTCACAAACACATCTTCTTCTCTAAGGAAATTCAAACCACGTTAATTTCTTTCTCTTTCAATCATGAAACCATATTCCTTCTGACCAGTATTGTTTTTTTTTACTCAGACCACTAAATGGAGCATTAATTAAAGAAAAAATCATTTAATTTTATTTTCTAGTGCAAAACATTGGATTGCAAGTAAATTATAAAGTATGAAGAGTTCACACACAAAAATTTATGACGGCAACCAAATTTAACTTACGTAATAATGAATTTGTATGTAACAGAGAACTGTATTCGTTCATTTGAAATGCTCATGTAAGGTCTATCCGATGTTGTTAAATTTTCCGTGGCTGATATATTCTTCGAGACCAGTGCATAACAGTCTGTAACTGTAAAAAAGTGTTAAAGTATATGGGCAGCGGAAAGGGCAAAATAATACAAGAAAAAAATATTATTTCCATGACTTTAAAAACTTAACAAATGACAAAAAATTCATTAAGAAGTAGGTAACAGACACAGATAAATGCAAAATGAACGTACTGTATACAGGGTTATTTTCGCCCTTTCACACTTGGAAACAATTTTGCCCTGTTTTAAACTCGCCCAGTTACAATTCTGTTTAGGAAATCACCTGTGGTAGGGCCAAAGGGGCGAAAATAAAACGGGGGCGTATGAAATACTCGGTTTAAATGAATATATTTTTGACTGAGAAATAACTTACAATAAATAGAAATGCGTGGGGGTCAAAGGAATGATATATATCACATAAGTTTCATGTATTAATTACAAGATACCTACATTTATGTGAATCAGTTGACAAGTACGATGGTGGACAGGAATTGTTATGACCAGAACATGGTGCCCTGATATTGGCTTGTATCCTTTTACCGAATTGATTATACTCTGCACAAAATTGACCTGTAATTGATAAAAATCATTTTAAAAAATTTAGTTCTTATCTTGTAAGATATACAGAAATATGCATAAAAACATGGTGTAAACTGTTATAAAACGTAGCGCTCTTTTAAAATGTACATGTACCTATTATTTGGACAGGTTCGACACACACTTCTATTAATTTTGATACAGACGGATCTAAGACACAGTGATATGGATTCGGAGATCCGTTTATCGTTGTCATGGAACATAACATCGCCTTGGAAGCCTGTATTCTTTGCTCATCAGTGATTGGACATTCTTTGACATACCGAAATTCCTCATAAGTACATACACGACTTGTTCTCACTATATGAATTGTGAGAAGAATACCAATATATTTTGGAATCTGAAAAAAATATTTTTCAGAGTTGCCGAATCTGACTGAACAGATGATAAAAAATACTTTTTTATTTTATGAATAAGGATTTTCTTAACGTTAAGTACCCGATTTCAAAGATCACATATAATAAAGTATTAGGTTCCATTCTGTACAAGGTAAATCCAGATTTTATCTAAATGAAAAAAAATATTACAAAATTGAAAAGAAAATCAAGTCAATTTCTCAAAGATGTGCTAAATTAATTTATATTCAACTGTTAAAATATTCTGTTGTTAATTATAATTAAATCAATTCTGATTCAAATATACAAAACATTGAATATTTTCTATTTCTCTATAACCATCTACATGTAGAATAAAAGCACTAATTAACCAGTTATTTGTGAGTGAAAGATGGAGGGGTCCTATTTTTTTCTAGACATTTTATTTATATTATCTGTTATAATAACTTAAAACACGACCAACAAAAAAATCTTGCTGGGGAAATGTACATTATATAACAGATATATGTTCTTTAAAAAACATGTATCTTGTAGCAGGATAAAACATTGATATGCATTTTGTACGTATTATTATTTGTACTAAAGTTAAACCATTCCATTAATTCGCTTCTAAGCCTTTCTTCCTTTTTCCATATTAAAACAGAAACCCCAGAAACTCTCATAAATTGTTTTCAGGATCAGAGAAAATAAGCATAAAAATCAGTTTGATTTAGAATTGAATTCATTTCACTACCATGACTTTAACTGGTAGAAAATGCTTGCAGGACAGGTTATTGGAATATCATTAAACATTGTTTTGATCGCTTCCTTTAGCAACAGATGCAATATGTAAGCAACACAAATACATTCTATATAGCTAATTTTAATACTTTTTATTTAAAATAAGTACAGTGTATTTTGTTTTCAATTACAAAATATATGTCTAATTTTTATTTTACTTCTAGAGATAATAATATGCTGATATGTTGCTTTGGATACCGATGGAATTCGTCTTCATCATCCTGTATAGGTAGGAAAATATCTCCTTACAATTTTAAGACACTTTTGCAGTTTTCAGATAAAATGTAACTGCATTTAATTTAAAACTTTATATTTATTTTATATACGTATTATTCTTATTTGAAGAGTGCCCACAAGGATTCACTGGAGCCAATTGCACAATACAATGTCCGTTTCCGACATATGGCAGAAAATGTCAGGAAAAATGTACATGTAAGAGGAGCTCTTGTGACAGCAGATATGGGTGCATTTTATCGATGAAAAAGTTCTCAACATCACGGTTACCGGATTTGGGTTTTAGCACTATACTTAACACCCAGGATGAAAATGTAACCGAGGAAATTGAAGGAGGTACTAGAAAACAAAAGATCGAAAGAAAGTCGAATGTTCTATCTTTTCTAGTTATTGGACTTGTAAGTCTATTTGTACCACTATTAATGTTCTACGCCATAATAAAATTCACAAGGCTTCACAAACGATTTTTAAAATGTATATATCAAAATGAAGCAGAAGATGAAGACATCACATACAGCGAGCCTATCGACATGAAATTGTAATTCTGGTTTGATCATCCATCAACTGATAAGATTCTTCTATATTCTAGACCCAAAATACAAAACTTTTGTTCCCCTTTAAACATGGATTCTATACTCCCTCATAGTTAGATTGAAAAAATTGGTAAATTTTTGTTTTGTTTACGTAACCTGTACCATATATTCAATCTAGATGATATTGTTAATTATGTCGCCTCGAACGAAGTTTACACATGCGATTGTACGCATGTTTTTTTTTTATCCAAGCTGTTTCTCGGAGATGGCTGGAACAATCTTCCTGAAACTTTCCTCAAAGGACGATCACTGGTTGTAGTTGTGCAGTGAGGTGAAAATTTTGCCATAAATTTTTTTTGTTTTGTTCTCTCTGTTCCCTTAAACGTTCGTCATGAAACTTTTTTTTTATTTTAATGATTAGTACCTGTAGTTGTGCTATTCGCTTTAAAATTTTCAAATAATCGATTATTGCCATGGAAAGCAAGGAAAAGTGAAAATTCTTTACGTTGATTTTTAAATCAAAGTACTGAAAGGACTGATACGAATTGATGGTTAAAGTACTAAAAGGACTGATACGAATTGATGGTTGTCCAAGATTAGCTAATGTGTATTGTTTTAATGATACAAAAGATGAAGTCTTGTCCAGTTCGGGGCGACATACCTATTGCTTGCAATAGCAGACTTTCTAGTTTTTATATTATTTTTATAATTTGACATTTAAATATAAGATGAAACTAAGTGGGAAAGGCAATAAGACATTGTACGCACTTCCTTCTAACTCTAAACAGCATATATCCTCAAAAGGATGAAATGAAAAGTTTACTTGTTATGACTGAAATGTTAATATTTTCATTATAGAAAATTGTCATATTGTTACTACAACTACTATAACTTTATGTATTTGGACAATTTTCAATTCTCTGTTCTATCAGGACGTAAAACAACATTCAATCAATAAATCTAAATAATAAAGCATCAAGTACATCGAGATGAATGTTACCTTTTTCACAATTTTAGCAAGTCCGAGCTATATGCTCGGGTAAGCTTTTTTGATTATCCATTATTCAGCATATGTCCTACCGTCTGTCTATCTCTTCCTATCCGCCTGTAAACTACAGATATTTTCGAATTCTCCGGGAATTCTGATCGGAAAAATATCTACGGATGAATGACATAATTTTATTTCAATTTTTATGGAGACTCGTGGGGCATAACGCTCACCTGAATCAATGTGTATCGTATGTTTTACCCCTTTAATTTCTATATATAAAATTAAGATGACATATTTTGTCCCCAAGGGACATAATAAAACAAATTTGAATATGTACTTCCTGAGGATGATTCCGTTTTTGACTAATCATGGCTCTGTGATTTTCGAGAAGTTTTGTAGCATATTTTCAAGATTTAGGTGTTGTGACAATATTTCGGTTGAAATTCATCTCAAATCATTGCTGACGCAAAATAATTCATGAATCTATCCTTACGATTCAGGCCTTTTTATCCCCACGATACTGGAGCTGAATTTATATGATAAAAAACTATATGTAATAACCCTGTATTGACCAAATTTTATTAAAAAAATAATAGGGTGTGCTGATTTTTATTGTACTGTATTTGATGGGGAAAGAGATACATGAAGGTCCTGTACTGAATTTTCAAGCACCTGCTCGACGGAACAACTTGCTGGATGGTTATTTTGGTTTTGGTAATAAAATCTTTACATGTATATGGATCGCTTTATAATGAATTGTTTTACAAAATCTGACAAGGAAACACAAAAAGTTTGTTTCAAATTAAAAAAGGGTCTAAAAATTGTGTATATTTGGAAGAATATATAGCAAAATTAATTGCCGTTGTGTAACTTGCAATCGCTCATTGATGTCTTTGACTATGATTTGAACATATTTAAGTTCCAAAGTTTGGCCCCAAGGGACATACTTCGTAAAAAATTGAATTTAAACTACATGAGGATGCTTCAACATACATGTAAATGAAATATATGGAGATAATGAACAGTATTCAAACAGACCTCCAAAACATCAGAGGTGGGATCAGGTACCATGTAGGAGTGAGCATCCCGCGCCGACCGGTCACACCCGCCGTTTGCTTCTTGTCATGAGCAGGAAATACCGGAAATAGCTGTTGTCAATTCAGTGTATAAACTAGAGATACTGTGAGCACTGAGCTCACTAAATGATACCTTCTCTTCTCATACCACTATAATGGCAAAATCAATGCTTCGTTCTTGGAGACACAAGAATCAAAATAGGAGGTGCACAATGGCACTATGTAACAGATTCCGTAAAAGCCTCATTAAAATTCATTCGGTGGTATAAAAGGAGTTGCAGAGAAGAGACGGGACCCCAAAGCGTAACGGACGGACGTACAGCTACACAGACGGACGGACATCCAGATCACTATATACCCTCCCACTTTTCAAACGGAAGTAGAATAATGGACTAACTATGAAAAGCGTCAGTCAGCATTTGACTAAATGATAAATTGTATTTGCTGACAAGGTCATTGTATCGACCATAGAACTTACGAAATAATGACTTTAAAAGAGACTGCTGATATTCTTGTTTCATCAACTTGTTTGTCGATAATTTACCTCGTTTTAGAAATTGTATATACATACAGTATGCTTATTGAATACATTGTGAAATATAAACTCCGTATGCAGGTGTTGAAGGTATATTGCAGCATAAGTATGGGAAGTTGACGATTAAAAACTCACCACGTTTATTATTAAATTTTAATCTACCCTATGTCACGAAGCTTTCATATAAGTTTCATCTTTTTGCTAGTTCTGGAGATTTTGTGATTCGATTTTTTTCCTTTTATTAGTTATATCATTGGAACAGATCTTAATCCTCTTTACAAATAATACAATGTTCCAAATTTGGTTAAAATCGCATCGTCCCGTTAGTTTTGAAAAAGACATAAAAATGTGAAAAGTTTATCACGCCGACAGAAAACGGACCAACTTCTATCAGAAAAGTGCATTTGAGCCTGCGTCTCGGGTAACTTTTTGTTTTAAATTAATTCTAAAATACTAAGTACCCTAGAAAAAATGAAGACAGATGAGTTATCAGTATTTCAGACAAATTATTTTTAACTTACCAATATATCGATTTTCACGACAGGTTCAGAATATCCTCAAGTTCCACCAAATTGTCGTTTTAACGGTAGTCCTGAAGTCAGTAGTCCTGAAGTCCTTGACTAAAGGTAAAAGAGTTGAAGTCAAACCTCAGTCTTTATATACAAGTAGTATTTCCAAGAATATTTATACAAGTAGTATTTCCAAGAATTTTTTTAAAGGATTGTTCATAGAACGGATGATACGAGTTAAACTTGCAATCAAATATCTTTATATTTAAGGACAGATAATACAATTTTTTTCTTTGAAAAAGATTTTAAAAGCCAGGTGAATTTTAATAGGAAAAGCTAAATGGTTAAAAATCAGCCTATGTGATATTGCTAATTTTTTGTCATTTTGACCTTCCTCTTAAAATTCACTTGGCTTGGTATATTTTTCTAAAGTATCTTTAGCACTTTTAGCACCAAGATAACATATTCTGAAATTTATTTTCACCTGTAAACCTTTACTGAATGTGATTTGTGTATATTTGATTTTTCATTGAAATATTACTAAAATTTTCCAAGTCTTTTTCATATGCCAGTTCCTAGGATAAAAAGTTCTAAGAACCATCCACTTTTCTAAACTTGTGACATGATAATAAATCTTTTTCATAGAAAAAATTTGTTTGTATCATCTGTCCTTAAAGAGCCATAGCTGCCTTACCCCCTGTTCCCACAGAGCTGCGACTCTACGGCGATCATCCCGATCAAGCCACGACCTGAATTTTTTTTTGATCGGGGCAGATCGCAGTCGATCGGCGTCTAAATAGAGCAATTTGGTAAATTATGGTCTGCGTTACGCCCGTACTACGATGTCCCTACGTCAAACGCGCTGCTAACACGCTTCTACTACTGTGTTACACAGACCGTTGCCGACAATCGGCTGTGTTTACTGCGTTTACGCTACGCTGCTACTACGACATTGAAGACCGTACTACGACGCTACACAGACCTAGATGACTGTACCGCGATGTCGCTTCGGTGGTGCCGATCATATTACGATAGCATTACGCTTCTAGTACGATTTTGGCGATGATGTAAATATATCTTGCAACCGCAGATTTTTGTAGTACGATTTTGGCGATGATACGTATCATGCGACAGCAGTTTTTTTTTTTTGCGGCATTTACCATAAAGTTTACGGGTATTTTCAACTGTAACTGTAACAAGATGTGAAAAGTCTCAATTGCAAATGATCATCAAGTATAGTGTCACCCTTTACATGTAGTTTACAAATGATGATTGGTCAAATATCAGCGCTATAAGAACAAATTTCTGTCTGATAGGTCGTGATACGATCGGCGTAAGGTCATTGTAGGCCTTCGTACTAGGATCTTCAGTAGTTTAAAAATGATGATTGGTCAAATATCAGCGCTATAAGAACAAATTCCTGTCCGATAGGTCGTGATACGATCGGCGTAAGGTCATTGTAGGCCTTCGTAGGATCTTCAGTAGTTTACAAATGATGATTGGTCAAATATCAGCGCTATAAGAACAAATTCCTGTCTGATAGGTCGTGATACGATCGGCGTAAGGTCATTGTAGACCTTCGTAGGATTTTCAGTAGTTTACAAATGATTGGTCAAATATCAGCGCTATAAGAACAAAATCCTGTCTGATAGGTCGTGATACGATCGGCGTAAGGTCATTGTAGGTCTTCGTAGGATCTTCAGGAACGTAGAGAGATCGTAGTGAGAACGTAATACGAACGTAGAGGGAGCGTTGTATGAGCGTACTTGGTAAGTTTCTACGCTCTTACGGCGCTTACACTACGATCATGAAGATCTCTCTACAATGCTTCCGCGATGCTTGTACGATCACGGCGCTTCTACTACGCTCTTTTTACGACTTAACCCCGATTCTTGATGGCCACGATCCCGCTACGCTTGTTTTGAGCATATTCAAAAT